GACTCAGTAAAAATCAGCTCTTTTCAATACCTCAGGCAGAGTAAGAAAGATAAAGGTAATCTCTGTGTTGTTGTTATTGCAAATGTTCTGCTCAATTGGACTGCATTTAGGCAGAACCTATTTATTACTATGGGAGAAGGATGACCCTCTGTAGAATTGTGCATAGGAAATGGGAATAATAACAACCACGTTAACAATTTAACCCAGCTTTGTTGGGTACAAGCATTTTATACTGTAATTATTTCCAAAGGCCAATAATTTGAGTTAGATAATGTAATTCCACCTTTTGGCCACGGGAGGTCAGTGGTTGCTGAAAAAAAGATGCTTTAAGGATCTTTCTGAGTTCACCATCCTGTACTGAAAGGCTAGTTGAAAGCAATGAGATTTCATTTTCAAAATCTGGGATGTCAGTCTTGATCACATGAGAGGGAAAAATGCTGCTGGTACGTGTCAGCCCTAAAGAACTGACGGAGGGTCATCTCTAGTTCAGGAGGAAGCGTGGCCGCAGCGTTGGGAGGGAGCCTGCCCATGATGGCCGTATGCTGATCTGTGTGAGCATTTGTGATGCATGAGTGGTATCTGCATCTGTGATATAGATGTGCTGTTAGGTAGAAGCCATGCTGTACCAATCTTGAAAGCAGGGGTGGGGGATGGGGTGGGGTTGTGTCCAGCATGTACTGCTGCTGCACATAATCCTTGGTGTGAAGGGCTTCCAGTTGTAGGAGGAACAGGTTGGCTGTGGCTGCTTTAGACCAATGACATATTGGTATATCCTGTCCTCTAAGCCAGAATATTAGGACATTTGATGACTTATGCTACATCAGGAAGACATCACCTTGGGTAAACCTTCCTCTGGGGACTCCTGTTTTCTGAGCTGAATCAGGCCATAAAAAGGGCTTCTCAGAGGAGGTGCCCCATTTGTTGGGAGACTGTTCTCATGGAGATTTACCTGGCACAGAATTTTTTTTTCAACCAGAGATCTTATTTTAAAAAATCTCCTTTAAATTTTCAATGTGAGTTCCTTTGCTTCAGCTTGCTTTTTATGTGCCACAAGGAAAAGAAAGTTCAATGCTTTTAATGCTCCCCTTCCTCATAGTTTGTATTATGGCAGGAAGAAGCTAGGTTCCTAGTCCTTGTCCCCATGCCACATTATCTTCCGTTTGTCAGAAGGTGAACATTGGCAACAGAAGGCCTCTGTGCTTACCTATACTTCCCTCTCACTTTAGAACTGTGCACGGTCACAGAACTATTTCACACGTAGACTCTTCAAAAATAGAATAGACTCCAGAAAGGGGGGCGGGGTGGGGAGAAGTAGTAGAACAGACTCCCTTCCCTCCCTGTCCAAGTTGTCAAGAATCAAAGAACCATCCAGAAGAGGGTGAGGCCAATGGAAGTTGTCCCAATCTTCCCCTCCTATGATTCCCACAACATGAGTATACTACTTGGAATGGCATGAATCCCTGAAAGACACTTTGCTTCATTTTATTGGTTTATTTATAACCTAAAAATAGGATTTTTAGGGAAGATTGACATGTACATGTTTGGCATAACCTGCTATTCAGTGACAGCACAATCCTAAATGGAGAAAAACAAATTACAGAACTCCTTTTGGTGGGCTTCTGCTGCCATCGCTTAGATCAGCCATTTCACAAATGGCTGTGAAAGGGTTCTTTTATTTCATTTTTAACCATATTTGTATCTGTTATTCTTTCATGGAGTTCAAGGCAATGTTCATTGATTTGATCTTATTTAGTCCCATCATAATCTATTGAGGTTAAATAGGTTAGACAAAGAAAGTGATCTGGGTTTTTGAATATGTAGCAACTAAATCAAAATCTTCATTGGTGGCACCAAACACTGTTTTTACCATAGATTTCACACCCTTGGTTAGGGAATGATTTCAGTATGGCACTATACACTACTGTTAATACTCATATAACTCTTCTGTACTGTACATATATAGTATCATAGATATGGTGGCAGATAAATGAATTGGCTGGGCAATGCAATTACTTCTTGGCAGACAATCCAATGGAGTTCCACACGTCTTTTTTTTCCCCATTGATTCATGATAGCCCTTTATCCATAGCCATTGTTTTAATCTGGAGGATATATTGTGGCCCTTGTACCATGCACATTTCTCCCATAGAATCCAAAACATTTCCTGATACTTTCCCACCCGTCCCAGAATTACGTGGAAGATAACTGAAATGAAAAATACAATCCCACTAATTGCTGAAAATTAATGGAAAGTGAACTACAATATTCAGTAAAATATATGCTAATATGTATAGCATTCCTCAAAAGTGAGGCAGCAGAGAAATAAGCCATTAAGAAAGAACATTATGGTACTAGGTGACACTAAAGCAATGTCAATATTTACATCATCCATTTTTGGATGAATGTATTTTAGATGTAAATACAACCTTATTAAATCTGAAAAAAGATGGATTAAGGTGGTCCCACTTGTTTCTGAACTTAATCTAAATTTTCTTTTCCTTTTTTCCCAAGCTGATAGGCATGCAGATAGCAACAGAGATTCCTTTATTCCTATCCACCCCATTCATCCTAATTTGTTCTGCAAAATTTATAGTGACCAGCTCTTCTCAATGGCCAGATTCCCAGTTACCTAAACTATTCCAAGGTTATAGCTTGACTTTTGTCCGGTATCTTGTGATGGAGGAAGAGCCATAATGTTCTAAATTTCTAGAACTATTGTAGAGAAGAGTTAAATAGAAGGACAAAATTGTGCTGTCTAGTAAGCGACTTTCAAATACCCTGATCAGGGCACCAGTTCCATTTTGGCTAATACACACTGCTGTTACTTACACAGCATGATACTTAAACTCAAACAAAGCATTTTCAAATGCCTAATCCCATAATCCATAAAATTTGGCAGTACCATGACACACACAAATAATTGTCACACAAATAGTTGTGTGACACCCTCTGGTGGCATACAAGTTTAATAAATTATTATTGTTATTATTTTGATGATAAAGATAATAAGATGGATATAGATATCAATGGCTAGTGCAAGTATCACTGCTAATACAGGTATCAATAGCTGTATAATCTGACAGGGCTCAGACTAGCAAATGATGGGCTTCATATATGCAAAGTGGGATCTAGTGAGTTTCAAAAGCAAAGTCATCCCTAAAGCTGCAAGCCAGGGCTTGCTGCCTTGGAATCATGCGACTGCAAGATTTTCCTGGCTGGTGTCCTACAGCTATCATGGGCCATTCATATCATCCCCAGCCAGGCTGAGAATGATGAAAGATGCTGCAATCCAGCTGTATTGGAGAACATCACGTGCATGTCTCAGGGGAAGGGGTAGGTGATTCTATCTGTCCCAACCCGACTGGGACTTTGAGCTGCTGACCATTGCCATCCCTCCCCACTGCACACCAATCAGCTCCCTTGGGAGCGATTTGACCTCCTCCATCCACCCACCCCGAAGCAAGCCTGTTGGGGGAAAGCTGCTGTGGAAGCCTTGCTCCTTGGAAGGTCAGCTGGCCTCTGCTGGTGCCACACTGAAACCAATGCCTTTGAGGGCATGTCAGTTCACAGGGCAGCCAAGCTTTTGTCTTCCTGGTGGTCTGGGAGTCACATGTCCCACCCTGGATGACAACAGCCAGCCGGCAAAGAGGGTGACCCGGCAAGCAAGTGTGTATTTTTTACCAAGAGCTGCTCCCCAAAATGGGTGCTGTGCCCTCTCTTCCAGGCTCTGAGGAGGTATTCCTGCCTACCCTGGGCCTCCACCTCTCCTCCCTGTTGCACCCCAGAGTCTGGAGGTTCCTTCCCTACTGACAGCCCCGGCATGGAAGCTCCCTGCCCTCCTACCTGTTAACCCTTCTGGCTGTCCAGAGCTGGAGGCACTGATTTTGCATCGGAGTTATGATGCCAAACTTTCCTGTGGCTGTTTTGCTTAGTGTGTCAGGCCATCCCAGCCTCCCCAGAGCTTCATGCCCATACTGAATAGAATCTACAGGGGGAATGGCAACCAGGCTGTGTTTCTCCTTCCAGTCAGCTCTGCACCACGCACAGTATAGGTTCCTTCCCTCCAGCTTTCCCTGGAACTTCTAGCCAGAGCTCTGCAGAAGCTTGTACCATGCCCACCTGGTTGTTCAGCAATTTGATGACTTCTTGGTTTTGCATACAACCCCTAGAGTAGCTTTTCTCAACCTTTTTACCACGGAGGAACTCTTGAAATAATGTTCAGCTCTCAGGGAACCCCTGCATACAGATTGCAGAAAATATGAAAACTGTGGAGTCCTTGGTGCTCTCTGAGCTTGGTTGTTTGCTTGTAGATGTTTTATTACCCAACTGTATAACATCATCAGTGTTACCTATCATCAGATGTTACCTCAGAAAACACCAAGGACTCCATAGTTCAACTCTGAGCTATATTCTCTTCTGTTGGAATATGATACATCACAATACAATTCACTTCTAACCTACATAATCCATGCTTTACAATGTTTACAGCAACAGCAAAGTGGCAGCTGAGTTGCAGCATGTAAAAATTCCCACCACTGCAGATGCTTCCTAGCATTGTGTGACATGCAAAGTTCATGCAAAGTGAAAAAAAAAGTTTATTTTTTTCAATCACAATCTCTTGCAGTACCCTTAGTGACCTCTTGCAGAACTCAGTTAGAAAGGGCTGCCCTAGAAGGTTGCAACCCACAGCTGAGAAGTTCTGCTGCAATCCAAGTAGAAGGACAACTGAAAACTAAGTTGAGACCCTTGTTTTCATTGAGTTGAATCTCCTAGATCTAATAATGTGACAGAATGCACAGATGGAGTGATGCCACACAAATGAAGCACATGCTGGGTATGATAGCTAGCAGATACAGAAGTTTTCAAATCCCTTCAAGCCACCCCATCAACCAGGACAAGGCCAACCCTTGATGGTATCTGTAGCATCCATAACTTGCTAGATTTAAACCTGCTTTATTCCATACTCTAATGCAACCTCACGCCCATTCTTTTTTATTCAGGTGTATGCAAGCTGTCTGGAGCAAAGGTAGAAGAACTACAGTACCAGGAAGTAGGACTTCATTGTACAAAGAGCACCGATTTCCATCCTAAGGAAGGAACTACTGCTTTGACAAAGACCAAGGCCAGCTGTTGCTGGATTCATGTCTTCTCCCTTGCAGGAGTTAAAAAACTGATTGCCTTATCTGCAAAAGTTATGTTGTCTGGAATCACTGGGTAACTTTCATGTGTGTTCACCCATTTCTGAGTGAGGTTAAGCTTCAGAGGGTTAGGGAAGTGGTTGGTTGGTTGGTTGGTTGGTTGGTTGGTTGGTTGGTTGGTTGGTTTATTTATCAATCAAATTTATATAGCTGCCCATCTTATGAATGGGACTCCGCGCAGCATACAATAAAAAAACAACAAAACAATAAAAACACATCTTAAATAACCATTAAAAACAATAAAACATGCATGTAATAAGGCCCTGGGAGAGTGTTTAAAAACTCATACACAAAGCCATCTCGTGGGCTCCCTGTTTCCAAGAGATTCCCAGGCCTGCTGGAAAAATCATGCTTGAGAGATTTCTGGAAGGCCAATAGGGTTGGAGCTAGTCTCATCTCAGGGGGGACGATGTTCCACAGGGCGGCTGCTACGGCAGAAAAGGCTTACCTCCTGGGTCCTGTCAGATGGAACTCTATAGCAGACAGGACCTGTACTGTGCCCCTCCTGCCTGGCCTGATGGGACGGCCAGGGAAGATGTAATTGGGAGAAGGCAGTCCCTCCATTACTCTGGCTGCATGCCATGTGGGGCTTTAAAGATCAGAACCAATACCTTAAATTGGACCTGGAAGCAAACTGGCAACCAATGTAGCTCACAGAGCAGAGGTATAACATACGCCTTTCTAGGGGCACACATAACTGCCAGCATCGCCGCATTTTGCACCAGTTGAAGCTTCTGAATACTCTTCAAGGGCAGCCCCATGTAGAGCACATTACAGTAGTCCACTCAGGAGGTGACCAGGACATGAGTAACTGTGAGCAGAGATAACTGGACAAAATAACAGATACTTTTCAGTTTCTGACAATAGTTCAGAGTGTCAGAAATTTGCTGCAGAGCAATAGCAAAGATTCAAGAGGAAGAAAAATGGTTGCCATGTTTCACATGAAAAGCTTCCCTTGTATTGGATAAGGTCTAGAATGAAATTCTGTTGCTTTAGGAAGATGAACTCTGCAGTATTTTTTTCTGTAAGGCAAGAATGGTACTAGTTGCACAGAAGTCTCAATGAAGTTATTTCTTTTCTGTTCATCTGAATTTTTGGGAAGTAGTATGAATCATTTTGTTTCCCATCCAGGCTACTTACTGGCACTGCTGGTAGACGTGCCCGTTGTCCATTCTAGAACTGACTGTCTGACTGCCTCGGGCTGAAATAGTCACAAAGCCTTTGCATCAGGTATCTTCCATACACTTTGAAAGCATAATGTGCTGAATATAAGAATAGGGAAAGAGTTACCAATTTAAAAAAAATATAGGCAAAATCTGAGGCAGTTAAATATTTTACAGCATTGTGAAGACTTAAAGGAATTGGCTGTCAAATGAAGTTTTGCAATTGCTGTCACTGTAGATTTGTAAATTCATGTGGTCTGTGTGCATGTGCAGGAGAGTTTCTGGAGGAAGAAATCAGTCTTACCACAAAGCAGTAACACGATGTGATGAGATTAAATTAGGTACACTTGGACTATACCCTTATTGAAATCATGCCTTCCCAGTCCTCTCACAATGTTCCTTCCCTTTCATGCCAAAATAACAGAAGCAGCAAGAGCAGAGTCCAGACTGATGTGACCTTTATTATTTTAAGAGCATTTTCCAGCACAATTACAGTGTTACAGGGCTGCAGAGGACAGAGTTGAAGTATAGAGCAAGTTAGATGAATAGGTGAAGAACAAAAGAGGTCAATACAAAACAGGTGGAATCAGGTGGTAAACGATAGATGAAGATTCAGATTAGTCCAAACCTTTATGATTGATTCACCAGGATAATAAATTCTGGAGGAATGATAAAAATGAGAAGGAAAATAAATGGTCAGTATACAGAAGGGATAGCTATGACAGAAGCAACCAACTTTTTTGGTTATTTTTTACAGCTGCTTTCCCTGTCTCACAGCAAGCAATGGGTCAGTGATAGATCACATGTTTCCTGTACAGAAGGTTGTCCCATGTTCAATTTCTACACTGTCCAAGTAGGACTGGGAAAACATCAGACTGTACAGTCAGTGTTGACTATCCTGGGCTAGATGGACCAAGGATTAAATTCTACAAAGCAGCTTTTTATGTTCCTAGGTATTATAATTCCCAACCATCTCTGGCTCCCCATGCTAATTAGGAATTCTGGGAGTTGTAATCCTAACATTTCTGGAAAGCATTGGGTTGGGAAGATTTGTGAGCTGAGATGAAGTGCCTCTTTGAACGAAATTGTGTTACCTCAGAGAGGAGAATTGCATTGCCTCTGGTACAAAGTGGCTCATCATGAGCCAACCTGGCCTGTCTCTTGCAGGCCTAATATTTAGTCCTGAGAAAAGAGGATCGAAGTAGGAATAGAGCAACACTTTGGTGACTAAGGCAGTTGTTAAACTGAACACATACATACATACTGACACAGAAGCAGCTTGACAGTAGAACTGCTTTATGGGAGAGGGGACGAACCTTTCACTGGATGTGTTCAGGTACTCTGAACAGTTCAAGTACTCTGAAGTCCAAGTTTTAGTATTTTTGGGATACTATAATTTGGATTTCTGGACTGAGCAAGGGGTAGGACTCGATAAGGGGCCTAAACAGCCCCTTCCAGCCTTATGATTTTATCACTGTCTTTGAATGCATAATCCTTTTTAGTTCAGGTTATTTAACTCTGAGCTTCTGGTACCAAACCTGAGTTGTCCAGAGCAGCAAACTTACCATCAATACCTATTTTGCCATCCTCATCTTTATCTCCAGCACCCATAAATTCCTGGGTTTCTTTATCAGTGAGGTGCCTGCTATTGGGGGAAAAATCCTGCAACATCAACCTGTGAATGGAAAGGACAAGAAGAGAAGAGCTGATTCCAGAGGTAATAGTTTTAAAAATATTTATATTTGCTATATACATTTAGAAGTTTATTTTCTTTCAAAAGATGCTAAAAAATAGTTTTCAGCAGAAAACTAAACCAATATAAAAACAAATCTCATCTGCATCTGAAGAATCAGAAACATCTGAATGACTGAACAACAGTAAGAAGGAGAACACCATGTTTTTTAAAAAGAAAAACCCACACAAATTAGCTGTTTGAAACAGCACTAAAATGTGTAATGGAAATTAAAACTTGTGTAAAGCCAGACAGAATGAAAAGCATTTTAATTGACAATGAAAGGCTTCAGTGTAATGTATCTAGTAGACGTGCATGGGTAATCTGTTCTAAATTCAGGCATAGTCATAAAAATCAAATGAAAATTCTAAATAAATATTGTGTAGTTTGATTTCCAAGAAAAATTCTTTCTGCATATCTTAGCTTATGGAGGAGGGAGATAATATAAGGAATGAGACGGTTCCTTCAGTGTATGAGATCTAAACTACAGAGGACTTTAATGATCAACTACCCTGGAACTAATAGCAACAACTGAACTTCAAAGGACCAGTGTCCTGTGCTTGCAAAAGTCAGCACCCAGTAAAGATCACCCTCCCTCATTCTGGACCACCTGAAATTTCTAAAACATCCTGAAGGTCAGCTTCATGGAAAACTGATATTGTCAAGTGGAATGGGTTACAATAGAATGCAAAGTGGTTTGGTCCTTGGTCTTCGAGAAAGGCTAGTAGATACTGATGAAAAAGTGCACCTCTGCCACATCTACAAAGAACAGTGCTGGACTACTGTACTCTCATGCCTAGGCTGCCCACTTACTTCTTAAGGTGAAATGTGATGCCATTAAATCCTGGTATGCTGAACCACCCATCACCCTCAGCATCTTCCTGTCTGACTTCTCTAGATTTATGTGCTTTTCCTTTAGTTTATTACTGAGCTCTAGTACAATACTAGAGGGGAAAAAAACCCTTGAATGAGTGACCTTAAATTTGCCTAGGAAAGGAAATTGTCACATGGAAGCTATTTAACAAAGAAGAGAATGCCGCTAGAAAAAGCTCTATTTCAGATGCTACAGCAGTTATTTCAAACCATTCTCGGTATCTGTAATTCAAGCTATATTGGCTGAAATCACTCTCTTCTACAGAATTGCCCTACAGAATTTCTCCACAGAAAAGGGTAGATGGACCCTTAATGGACTTAAACCCAGAATAGATTTAATGAAGTTAAGTTTCAGGAGAGTAGATTTTAGCTGAACATCATGAGAAATGTCTGAAAAGTCAACACAAATAATAAAATGTACCTGTTCAATGAGCTGGAAGGAAAATTATTACTATTATTTATCTGATTTGTATGGCCTCCCATCTCATCTAAGTGACTCTGGGCAGCTCACAACAGGTAAAAACAATCCAATAAAAACCAGTTAAAAACCAATATACAAACATATAAAAACTGTCCATAATCATTTTAAAAAATAGAAAATCATGTTCAGCAGCAGAATTCATTCTACATCAGCCCAACACAGCCATTGTAAGAGCTCTCCAAAATGACATACCTCCCTCTCCTTTGGCAGCTGGGGATGGCGACAGGCTTGGACAGTTCTGTGATTTACTCATATGTATAACATAGGTTGCAATCTTCAGTATAACATTAACTTCTTCCCTTCCCCTTCCCTCCCCTCCCCCCCAAATAGATAGATAGAGCCTATAATGAGAATAACAACATTTTAATTTGGTTGAAATCTTAGATTCAGATTCTGGTCTGATTTTATTTCTCTAATGAGAATATTACATCTGATTTATTAGTGACAGAGAGTAGTAGAGATAGTTATACTTTCAGTGTGGCTACAATTATGGGAGATTATCAGCTATGCCTGCATTTTTCTGCTAGTAGCCAGACAATGCCACAAATATCGTCAACCTGTATTCCACATTACTACTATAAAGCACATTTCAGTTGGTACATTTATGAAAGAAATATTGATCTTTGCTTACTGTATTTCATCAGGTTCGAGATAGCCATTTTTATCTGTGTCCAGAATGCTAAAAAACATATTCAGTTCTTGAAGGCTTTTATTTTTCAGTCCCAACATCTCAAAGAATTTCTTGTAGTCAAAAGAATTGGTAGCTGCAGGAAGATGAACAGAATTCCGTTTACATGAGCAAATTTCCTTCTGTAGATGACATGGTCCATTCATCTTCACAATACAGGAGCAATTGATTGATACATGATTATTCATTTTGGGGGGAGAGCAGCATCAGGTGCTTTGACTGTGCAAATGAGCCATCGTAGCTCAAGCATTCTCAATAATCTTAAATAAAATACTTTTCAGCAGAGATAGTTCATCTACCAAGTGTAAGTAATATTGTAATTAAAAAATAACCAACTGTTAGTATCTACTTCATCCTTCCTCAGCCTAGTGCCTTCCAGATATGTTGGGACTGCAACTCCTCAAACAGTTTGGAGAAAGCTGATCTATATGTATATATACATTTTGTAAGGAGAGCCATGTTAATCTATGTTAGCCAAAAATCAGCTTTATGTGCTACATCCTGTGTCCTCACTTTGCTCTTGAGCTGTTTGATTTTCTTTGCTATTGATTGATAGATTGATCTCCTACTTTTGAGGACAGCAATCTTCTCAAAGCAGCTGACTAGCAACATAAGCAGTGGTAAATAAAAATACAAGAAGTACTGTTTTAAGACAAATTATTGTGATTATTTCCACAAGGCAAATGGTGGTTTGTTGAACCAAACTTCTGTGTCACCTGTCTTCCTTTCCTTTTCTATAAGTTGTTCAATTGTATAATTTATAGAGCATCTTTGGGGATCATGGGGATCCTTAATTTTGTAGGCCTGCAGACTAAGAGATGCCCAGAGAAACCTGTGCCTGCCTATTGTGTTTGAAAATGGGATCAGGGCATTCCTGCCTCCCCTCCCTTCCCCTCCCCTCCCCAGATCGGGTATGCAAAAGTGGCAGAAAAACTAGGCTGGACAAGCCTACACAAAGTCTTGTAGACAAACCAGTCCCATTCCTCTTGGTGTGCCCTGATTGCTGTATCTTTACCCACTGGCTGAAATAGGAAGCAGGCAAGTTACAGCAAATAACTGTTAACCTTGCCTTTAATGACTGGCATGCTCACAAATAACCAAACAACATTTGGCAGTGATGAAACAGATGCAGCGGAGGCAGGGTAGGGATTGGCAATGGAGACAGCAAAGTTTATGATTCATGGATGGATGGATGGTACTTTAACAATAGTGTGGGAAATCCCTAAGTCAAGGTCACCTGCTGGTAGGAAGAATGCACAAATTAGAGTACTGTAACCAGGAAGACTAGTGCTGCTGTGTGTACCCTGACACTATTTTGAATTTGTACCAGTTCAGCCTTGCACCATTTCAGCTTTGCACAAATCCACTTTGCTCCCCTCTTTTCTTCCTCATTTTATTTGTAGGAGTTCCTGGTACTTTATGTAGTCCAAAAATGCTTGAGTTTTCACTTGAAAAGCAACATGGGCTAGCCTGAAGACGACTTTATCATCATGTAGATGTGTGTAGATAGATACATGCTAGTGGCAATTTCAGAAGCAAGTCTTATCTAGTTGCTTTGA